CCTTTCTTCTGTTTTTTTTTGTTGTTGTTTTAATCTTTCCCTTCATCTCTCCTTCTATCACCTCACCTCCTCCCTTCTACTAGGAGCTTTACACATATTTGAGCTTCTGAGATTCCCTAAAAGCAGGGATCTGAGCATCTCAGACTTTTGTGAGGTGCTGGTATGACACAGTGAGGATCTCTGGTTGTCTTTCATGAAGGTTTGCATTTATATAAGGCTTCGTAGCTGGGCCAGACCTCCCAAAGTGATGAGTGACAACTGAGCAATGTATGATACCAGAAGCAGAATTAACTTGGGAAGCAAGCAGTAGAACAGGGTAAGATTAAGAAGCTGTGCTTCAGACTTTAGGAGCTATGTGTGACAAATGGAGAAGGTTTTAAATCCTTGTGAGTCAGTATCTGCAAAAAAGCAAAGCAGAGAATAGTTGTCTGAAAATAACCTCCTCTCTGACCAGAGCTAGATCTGAGTACTTGGCGGTTTTATTTCTATTTAACTTGGATAGATGGAATTAGTCTTTAAACTATATTATAGTAATTTGCTGAGAGCTTCATTCCACAAAAAAAAAAAAAAAATAGGCCCTTGAGCAATGCACTGTTAGGCAAGTTGTGCAAAAAAGAAGATGAAACAAAGAAATCTGTGTTTTGTGGGTGAAATACCATCTTTCACATTGGGAAGAGACCACACTATCACTAAGGTTTGGGAGAAAGCTCTTCTGGGTACCCCAACAGTGTTATCTGTGTCACTTAAGAAGCCACATCTCAATGCTTTGCCTGGCTTGTACAGGAGATGAGCAGTGTTTGAAGGATTTGATAAAGGAGAAGAGGAATCTGGGGATGCATACCTGCTGGGTAGAGATGATGTCTGGCTTTTCAAACAAAGTACAAGAGCCAGCAGTGAATTTATCACTTAGCATGAATCAGCAGCGTGCACACGTGCTCGGATCTGCCTGTTCACAAGGGCACTGTGAACTCAGAGGGACTCTGTAAGAGCAGTGGATGGTGAATGGGATTAAAGCGGATAAATGCTTCCTTAATTTTTAATTGGAAACAGATGCAGAAGGCAGTGGATTAACAGGAATAGTGACATTAGCTCTGAGAGAGCAGCTACAGAGAAAGCAAACTGAGAAGCTCAAAGTGTTCAAGGGCAATTTTATAACTAGTAAGGGAGTGTGTCAGCTAACAGCAGGCAAACAGCTAATTGAAAAAGATCACTTGGAATAGGATAAGTATGCACTCTGGGGCTTAAAGTATACCAAAACTTTGGTCTGAGCCAAAGGACACGCTCATTGGACACAAAAGAGGTCTCATGATCTTTCAGAGAGTGTGGTTCATTCAGCTCCATGCAGAGATATCTATGCTGCAGTGTGGGGTTAAGACACCGACTGTCCAACCATTTCTGATGCTCCTGGAAAAAGTCCAGCAGACTCACTACTCTGGGGAACAGCAGAGGAAGGAGGAAATGTTGTAATCAGAGGACAAAAAAATAATAATTAAAAAGTGTAATACTTCATATACTGTCTAAATTTGTGAAGAGTAATTATCTTCCATCAACTTCCAAGAGAGAGGTTTCTATAGAAATTGTTAAAATTAGTATATTTCTGTGATCCGTAGTAGTAAGTTTTCAAAGCTGCCTTTACAAAAAAACCCCACAACAACAAAAAAAAAACCAAACACCTCATCCTCATTTTTTATTTTCTATGAGAAGTATCTTTTCCTTTGTACTTTTTCAAGTTGTTCTGGAATGCTAGAAAAATATGAGGATGGGAAAAAAGAAGGGTTAGGAAATCTGCTTTAACAAAAGGATACAAACAAATACTTCAAGAAGCTTTGAAAAAGCATACACATAAATCCATAAAACTCTACTAGTAGCATTGTAAAAATAACAAAAATAGCCCATCTTGGAGAAAACTTAATGCAGTTAAATGAGCAGGCAGGATGTCTGATGCAGCAAAAGAGGGCTGCAAAGATTGCTTGAAATGGCAAACTGTCTCACAAATGTGGAACTGCTGTAGCTGAGATGTGCACAGATGTCAAGTGAACCGGTATATTAATCTTATTGGAGAAAAAACTGGCAAATGGTTGCAGTTAATAAAGAGAAACCCATGACATAAGTGTGAAGTTGTCTGTAAATACCACTGCTAATGGTATGAACCTCAGTCCTTGACCTAAGAGGTGATCTATGTGTCATCATCAGCAGCAAAATTTAGTGTCATAGTCAAATAAGGGAGGAATTTTCATATCTTTAACAGCAGTGAACTGAAACTGATTCTAACTGACCTACTGTCATTGATAAAAGGAGCCTGGGATAACTTTTTTGTCCTTCTGCTTGTGAAAATAACCCCACTTTGTTTTATTTTTCAGACAGTAGGTAAGATTTGCTATGGGCATATCATAAAGAAAGAGAAAAAAAAATATTGCAGAAAGACATGTGAACACTATTTTATTAAAGTCATCAAAAAAGTTGAGTTGCAAGGAAGTAAGAAAAATGTTGAAGTTATTAGCAGAGATTTATTTTAAGCTTGCACTGAACAAATAACAAATGAAGTAAGCTGTTTTTAAGGTATTGCAGAGCCTAGAAGTACAAACTAAGTTTTATATTAATAGCTCAGGAAAAATTGGCCCTGAAACACAGAATTATTTACCCTGACTGAAACAACTTCCTACTTTCATTTCCTTTAGATACCTATGTAAGAAGCTTTATAGCTGAAAAAGTGATATTGCATATGAGATTCTTTGTTAAAACAGGGTGTTTGACATAATGGTGCCTGCAAATAGGCCAGAATTAGCAGCTATTTCAGCAGTTTGCAGTGGAATGAGGGCTTACACCTGGGCCCACAAGTTCCCATTATTCCCAAGCCAAGTGCTAGTTGAAGGCACTTGCCAAATAATGATTTGCATTTTTCAGATAGTTATAAATTATATGAGCATGTGAAGTTATTCCACTCAGACATGAAGAAAAATTTCCAGATCCCAGAAATGAAAAGTACTGAAGGCAGCATTTGGTGTGAAAGGGCTTTAAACAAGACACTACACTAAGTGTGTGAGCCCCTCAGTTCAGCAAATCCAGAACTTGTGGTTTAACACCATTTTATACTTGTGCCAGTATGTACAGTCAGTGCCTCTGCCATTGAGACTGATTAGCCTCAGTCAGCTTAGTTCATACCTGTATTGTAAGCATTGATTAGTATTGTGTTAATAATTCTGTGCAGGCTGGAAGGTACTGGGGGATGTTGCACCTTGCCCAGGCAGTCCAGCCATGTCCCAGGGTGGGTGGCACAGACCTGTGCAGGGTCATGGTCTTCCAGCAAGTCCTAGGGGTCATGGCCCAGTGCCCTCCACTGCCTACTGCTTCCCAGAGTGTCTGTGCCAGCTCTGCTTTTCCCTCCACAACAAGAAATCCTCAACCAAAGAGTATATGCACCAAAGAAGACTGTTAATACGCAGTTTTCTTCTCAAATAGCATTTCCTTCTGCAATGCAAATGGTGCAACTTAGGTGATTTTCAAATAAACCTTTTTTGTCAGTGCCTTTGGTGTAACTACCCTTACGGCAGAGATAAGTAATAGCAATTCTGATTTTTTTTCCCTTTTTCTTATTTAAACTTTGTTTCTATTTTAGTCTTAGGCTCTAGTAACAAAAAAGCATAAAATTAAAATGGTAAACCCCTCAGAAAAAGCAAATAGAAAGGTCAGCCATTTTAATTGCTTGCAGTGTTTAAACAGTAGAAGAGATTGACTGTCACCACATGAAAATGAGCATCTACCCTCAGAGAAAGTCTTTAAGTTTGTTGATGCACTTTTTGAGTACCATAAAGGAATTTTTTCCCACTATAACCATGCATATATCTGCATGTAGCCTTTACCATATGGCATAATAATACTCTGGATGACTTCCACAAAGTATAATAGTAATAAAAATACTCTGTTTACATTCACTTCCATTATTTTGTAGCAGGAAAACTGAAGCAATATAAATTCATTTTTATAGTGGTTGGTGTCAGTAAATACACTGTTCTTCCAGAAGTAATGTATTGTAATATAAATTTCCTGATAAGTTAGTGTAGAACAAGGTTTAAGTGACAACTATTTGTGAAAAACTATTTGTTTGTGACTCTGACTTAATTTAATAGAAATATATTGCTCTAAAATGAATTGGTCTGATGTCAGATTGATGGTTTGTACTTTTATTATGCGAAGCATTTACAAAAGTCCACCATCCCACAGGTATATAGAAGAAAAGATTATCCGCTATTCAGTATATGAATATATAGCTTCATTAAAAGAGCTCTAGAGGTGCATGTAAATCGTGAAAGAAGAGCTTGTGATGTTTTCACTATAAAACCTTGCTGTAATTCCCTTTGAATTAGTTTTAAGTTTCTTTTATATACAGGTATGTTTTATGGTTGGGTTTTTTTTAAAGGTAAAATTATAAATTTTTTTGCTTCAGTTCAAAATCTCTTCTGCAACCCATACATTTGAACCCATCTGAATCATTCCCTTCTTCAGAAAAGTGGCAATCTTCACTTGTTGGAAGTTTAGCATAGAACAATGAATGTGAAAAAAAGACTGTTTACTGTTGTTCTTGCTGAGAAATGGTGGGGTCACACTTCACAAGGTCAGCAGATGGAAATAAAATCAGTCGGACCAGAATGTTTTCAAAGAGAGGGTGCAGAGGCCAAAAGGTCCAAGTCCTCTAGCAGCTACTCTAGACTTTTTTTAAATTATTCACATACCTGGCTATTGATAGGGAATCTTAAGTAACGCAGTTCACCTAATAGTCTTGAGTGTTTTGTTTTAGTATAAACTATCAGTCCAAGGGGAAGGGCTAGAGTTCATGAAGGAAAAAGAATGAGAGTTGAGAAGGCAGCAAGGAGGCACGGCAGTGAGCAACGGGGTTTCTGGAGATGCAGGCACAAGCCTGAAGAAAGCCTTTTGAGTTGTCTTCCAAAAGCTGTTACCAGCACTAGAGTGATGTTTACCTGGCTGCTTCTCACCGGAGTCCTTGCATAATACTGTATAAAAGGGAAAACTGCTTCAGGTAGGTGAAGTTTAAGATGTTTCTGAAGTCCCTAGAATCCTGCTGGGAGTTGTAGGGAATAGGCTGTCTACATGGAGAGATGCAGTTTGTGCTTTCAAAGTAGTGTTACCAACAGCTTACCTTACTGTTGTTCTTTCACTGTGTTTTGGTTTTTGTTGTATATTTGTTTGGGGTTTCTTTTACTCCTTTCAGCCTTTTAAAAATCTTTTGTAACTAATAACTGACCTGAGGACAAAGACATAATAACACAAATGGGGATGTTTAGGCGCTATTTTGATGAACCTGACTGATGAACCTGTGAGTCTGCTCACAGATGCTCTGTTCTTTAAGCAAATTCCTTTGCTCTTGCTTTTCTCTTTCCTCTTTTTACTTTGTCCTTTTGGTAAAGCTATGCAATTAAAAGACTTGGTCTGTGGATGAACTGGAAAATGGAAGGGAAAGAAGAAAGAAAAAAAGAACCAAACACTTTAGACCCACTAAAGCATGTACTTCAAACTAAAATTAGTGCATATTCCTTTTTCTAGGCATATGAACTTTTATTTGGTTTAATTCCATTTGTGTTCTCAAAGAATTTGAGCTGATCCTAAGCTTTGCTTTTGGTGAATTTGCAGGGGTGGGTGAAGTTTGTGGGAATCACTGTTGTCTTTTGCTATACACTTGCTCTTTTACCTTCTGACCTTATTTTTACTGGGATTCCCTGCAAGCTGCTCATCATTGTGCTGGCTTCTGTTCTTGTGCCTTTCTTACGCCAGTGGGAAGAGAAGCAAGAAACTAAGTGGAATCATGTAGTTCCAGTCAGTTTAACATTGCTTCTGCTGCCACAAGCAACACATTTTATATTACAGGAGAAGAAAAAACAGTCATGTAATGTGATGAACCTGAAGGCTTCTCCCACTTAAGTGTTTAAACAGAAAATGTAGGAGGCTTTATGTAACCCTTAAATGTAGAACCCTGCACCTACTTTCAATTGAATATGCAACATTGTTAGAAGCACCACATAAAAAGTATTTTGCAGGTTTTTGAGAGACTGCGTCTGAGTTTTTTCTACCTCATATGTTTTAATGACAAATTTCCTATTCTGTGTGCATGTCCCACTGCATTCCTGTATTGTCTTCCAAACACAGACATATATGCACGCACACACACACGTGCATGCATTTTCCAGAGAAAACGTTGTGTGCATTTGTTTATTCCTACCTCACTTGAGATGTAGAGAAGAAAAACAGTAGAGTATTCCCATGAAAAAGTATCATTTTAGTTAACTTCTCCTTGCTTAACAGATGGATGAACGGTTTTGTGAAGACCTTGTCTGTTTACTTGTGGGCTTTTTTTACTCCATTCATTTATAATTAATGTGCCAAATTATGTTGTTTGTACCAAGGGTCAGATCATCATTTTTAGCTTCCATGTAGACTGAAATAAATCCCACTATTGGGACAGACCACACTCACTCCTTGGTGCTGCTAGCACAGTTGCTGGCTCTTCTTTTGATCCAGCGGGGTTTAATTTATTTTTTCTCTTTGTAAAATTTGAGTCTGCTTTGATAATTAATACCCAAGAAATGTCACTGAAAGTTACATTGAATAAAATTGGCAGATTCAGAATGGGAGAGAAATACATGTGGATATATTAAATAAAAGTAACATTTCAGCTTGAAAGTGCAGATCTGGGCATCTTTGGTGTTTAAAGGGGGATGTTTCTTTGGATTCGGGGTTTCTTCAGGCACTCTCTTATCGTCATCCCCTTCTTTCAGCATGTACATGTTCAAATCTAGGTGAGCTGCTGTGGTTAAAAAAGAACCGTGTGAGTAGGCAAAAATACCTTGTAAACTGAAATGAGAGATAACTAAGCGGTCCTGCCTGGCCTTGATGGGATTACCAGGTACTGTGAATCACTCAGGCAAAGAGGCCTGAGGTGACACTTCAGTCTTGTTATTACACCAGGGATATTGGTTCCATTTAATAAGAAAGTGGGGTCATCTTAGTGTGATTCAGTTCAAAGCTTTGAAAATGTCTCTTATTGGAAAGATTTGAAGTAAGCAGTTTTGATCCTTCTGCAGCACGAGCACATCGATGGCTGATGGGGGGCAGCTCTGGAGTCTTTGCCCTGTGCCCAGACCCCTCTTTAAATAAGGATTTCTTCTAAAACAACATATCACAAGAAGGTGTGACTGAAAACTATTTTGTAAGCAATTGTCTCGTTTGGAAGATGCTGTATAACTGAGGCTCTTCCTTGCCTTTGATTTTTCTTTTTAAAAGGATTTTAAAACCATGTAGTCCTTGTCCTAAGATACGCTTATTACAGAGTTCAGTGATGTTCCCTGGAGTCATAATCTAGCATGAACTGTTTCCCCTGGCTATACTACAAGACAATTTGACTTTGCATGAAGTTTTGAGAACTGTATGTGGGGATAATGTTTCGACTTCATGCTCTCTCTGCACCGTGAATGACAAAATATGCTTTGAAGTGCTTTCTCATACTCTCTACTGCTGCCTTTCATGTGCGAATGAATATTAATAAAAACAGACCTGTGCTCACTTTTGCTTTTAATAGGATGTTCTGTCATCTCTCTAATTTTTCTGTCTCTTGAATTTCCTATTTTTAAAAGTTTTATTGTGTTTGTAGTGCCAGGCCCTATACCTGCCAAGTCGGTGAAAGGAACTCCTTTTGAAGATAAGATCTTCCTCAACTGGAAGGAGCCTGTGGATCCAAATGGCATCATTACTCAGTACGAGGTAATAATTAAACAGCTAACAAGCATAGGATAGATCTCAGAAAGTGTGGCAAGAGGGGTGGCTTACAGTGTGTGTTTATGCTCTGCAGGCAGCTATTCTATTATATGCTGCTTTAATTTACAGAATCCTGGATTTTCTGTACTGATTAGATATTAAAAAACCATCATTATGGAGAATATGGCTGGCCGGCCCTGTCAAGTGGCTTTGGCGTGTTAGTATAACAGTATTGCAATCCACATGAGAAGTGCTAATTTTAAAAACCTTGTACCATTATTAGACACTTCCAAAGCCATGACAGCCACAATCTATGAAATCTTCTCTGTTGGAAGAGAAGGTTACATGAAATGTAAGATGGTCATTAAATTTGGAGCAATGTTTTTTAGCTTTATCAGGTCTTTATAGATACCACTCTTCAAGGAAACCTCCATATATATTCTATTTGAAGTGTATTTAATATATGAGCCTTCTGGAGACCTCCACTGGAGGAATAAACACCATCCTCTTCATCACTCCTTTTTTAAAGGAACAGAGAATATAATGTTGTGTATTAGAGAATTATAGGAGGAAGACAAATGGACTGACCAAACAAAACCCCTTATATGTATTTGTTTATCAATTTAATGATAACAAAGATCTTTTCGTAGTATGGGTTAACCCCAGTAGGCAGCTTGGCCCCAGTCAGCTGCTTTTTCACTCCTCCACAGTGGGATGGGGCGAATGTGGGAGTGTTTGTTTGTTAATTACAGATACAAAACAAAGCACCCTACAAGCTGCTATGAAGAAAATTAACTTCATCCCAGTCAAAACCAGTACATTAAGATATCATTGCTGACTTGAAATATATTAGCTTGGTTTGAATGGCATTTAAATATGATTATTAGTAGAGGAGAGGGAAATGTACTGCAGGAAGTGAAAAATACAGGGTTTTGGTGGAAATGGGGAGGACAGTGGGGGTGTCCTAGTTTAAATGTAACATTGAAATTTTCTATACATGAACTGAAACCTTAAAAAAAGTGATGAAGGGCACCTGCACCTTTCAAGTGAAGCAGACTCTACAGTAAAACACATCAAGTCACCTCATGGTATCCCCAAGCCAGCAGGGTAGCTAGATGAGCTAGAATGCTTTTCAGCCAAGCTAATGTAATCCCCTTGTGTCAAAGCCTGTAACAATTGCTATAAAATGCTTGTTTTCACAGGTCAGCTATAGCAGCATCCGGTCATTTGACCCAGCAGTTCCAGTCGCAGGACCTCCCCAAACTGTGTCGAAGCTGTGGAACAGCACACACCACGTCTTCTCACACTTGCACCCTGGAACTACTTACCAGTTCTTTATACGTGCAAGCACTGTCAAAGGGTTTGGACCAGCAACCACAATCAATGTAACAACCAACATCTCAGGTAAAAAGGAAGAAGCAGCAATGGGGTAGGGAAGTAAAAAATGTAAGTGTGGGGAAATGTTTTTTGGATTTTTGGTAAGACTTCAAAAAATCATGAAACAGGAAAGAAAACTCCCCCAAAAATTCCATCATGTTGTGAAACTATATTACTGTCCATGTTTTTGAGCATATTTGCCAAACAGTAGCATAAGTTCAGGGATAAATCCTTGCATGAGGTGGAAATTGCACACCTGTAGTTGTAAAGTGTTTGATTTTGCATAATCTTGTACTTTCATCTAAAGATTCTGAAGTGCTATGTAAACCTTAACTAATTAAGCCTTACAGCACTCCATAGGTCACTAGGTACTGTATTTGTTTTGCAGATTAGTAAAGTCAGATGCAGAAAATTAACTGACTTACTCAAGGTGACACCACTTAGGAGGACACAGCTATAGCAGAACTGGGGCAGTTGGGAAGAGGTGTGAATTTCTTTTGCCAGACTCGTATAGGTCTGCTTCCTCTTGCCTTACTTTACTTACTGCAGTGCACTAAGATTGACACTGTTTGTCTTAATAATATACAGCAAACTCTAGAAGAAAATAATGTCAAATGGAATGCTTTAGTGTTTTTATTTTCTTAAATTTCAGTATTATTCTCAAAAAGTAAGATAGCAGTTTATGCAGTTGACATCAGAAGGTAAATCAGTGGTGTATCTAGAGAGACTGTTGATTTTATGACCTGGTGACTTTGGATCTTGGCAGAGATGAAAGAAGTCAGTCGTTTAGAAATGTAAACAGTACAAAGCAGGCAATTTTCCTTGTTATCTGCCGTAATGAAACTTCTGTTGTCCTGTAAAGGGAAGTAATAATGCAGTGGAATGCACCTACCATTTCTATGGGAAACTACTCACATACTCTCCTCACTGAGCTCCCAAAAGCATGCACATAAATCAAAATGTGAAGAAATTGAAGGCAGAGCTCCTTTAATTATATAGCAAGTGAAATTCTATAGTTGTCATAGTTAACTGAAACGATTTGTTGAATTCCATCCCTGTGCATAAGCACTAGCACTCTTCATACCCCAGATTCTTCAAAAAAAGCCAACCAAACCACCAAAAAAACATCCAAACTACATATTATGTTCTGTTTATCCATTAGGTTGGTTTGAAGTGTAATATTTTACTAAGGTTTTTTTAAGGTACTTGGGTTTCTTCACAAGAAATTCCAGTTAATAAATTTTCAAGGATAATGGTGGTGTAGTACTTGCATGTTTGTCATCTAACCTCTTTGTAGGGGAGGGGGGGGGAAAGTGTAACTGTAATTTTGTCCAGAAAAGCACAATTCCTAGACACAGTATGGGTCTATTAGTTGGCAAAACATGGTTAATACTAGGAAACCTTAAAAACAGGCCATAAGATCCTTTTAACCTGAATTTCATCCTGTTGTTTTGTATTTTTTTTCTTGCTTTATGCTGAAGTGTTCTCTAGTTTTGCTCTGCAGAACTGATACGTTTTATAAGGCAGTGCGTATGTTTCAGGAAGTGCAAGCTTTATTTTAATGAGGAGTGAAATTAATACTTTTAAGCAAGCTTACAAATGGTTACCATGATCCTAGTGAACATGGTATAAACAATAATACATAAATGAACATCAAATGAACACTAAATCTTGGACCAGATGGTCCTTGAGGTCCCTTCCAACATGGCATTCTGTGATTCTATGATTATTTCTTTAAAAATAATATTTCCTGAAATAAGAGAAATGTTTGTGTTTATCTGGGATCTGGGACTCTTCTACCTATTGAAATATTACTGTTAACGTACTATGACTGAAGTGATTGACATCCTACCAGGAAAGACCTTTTTGTGAAAATTCATTTTTAAATACACAGGCATAATTAAAAATTGTATAGAAAAAACACAAATAAAAAAAAAAAAAAAAAAAAAAAAAAAGGCAAAAAACCCCACAAAAAGCAAACAAAAAACAAAAAAAAACCCCATGAAGATAGATTTATAGATTTTTGAATAATCAATAAATAATAGAAATATATTATTATATATAAAAGAAATATGAAGTTCTGTTTCATTCTTTGCACTAGAGCTGAAGTCAGCAACAGTATTACCACTGAGGACTGTAACAGGTTTGTGGCAGCAGGTTGAAGCTGGGTGGTTGAAGTAATCACCAACACAAGCCATCTGACCCCAAACACTTATTACTGCCACAAAGGTCTGGCAGCCAGTCCATTAGTGAATCAGTTTCTGATCTGCTTCTGATTTTTACTTTGATTTTGTTTTTTCTTAATTTCCAGAGCTGAAAACTGCAGTGGTTCAGAAACTGATTAATGAGCAGCTTTGGCCATATATTGGTAGAAATGGAAGGATAAATGGTCATGGGAATAGATGTCCCCATCCAGTTCTAGTCTCCACAGATGCATGACTGTGCAAGCCCAATTCCTGCACTCTCATTGGTATTGGTGTGGTGAAACATAAAAAGGTTATTGAATTGTTGGAGGAGGAAGAAGAGAGGTGGTAAAGGTTGGGTCTTTAAGATGGTGAATATAGTTGTTTGTAAGGTAAGAAGAGGGAGGCGAAAATGGGATTTTGTAGTCTTAAGGTTTTTTGGCAGTCACGTCCTCCCTCTATTTCTCTTCTTGAATGAACCTGTTTAATTCAATAGGTTCCATGATTTCAGGGGAAGCAGTTGGGGGAGGGGTTATCAATTGCTGGCGAGGCCCCATCATGTTCTAGTAAAAGGTTTTAACAGATTGGAAAATCATTTAAAAAGACTCACGTAGCTGATGAAGATTGTGCATGTGTACTGTGTTGCAAACAGCCACAATCTCATGAAAATCCAAAATGTTTTCACTAATTTATTTCTCATTCTTTTCTTTCCCACTCAATGTTAATCAGCTCCCACTTTACCAGACTATGAAGGAGTTGATGCATCTCTCAATGAAACTGCTACTACAATAACTGTACTCTTGAGACCAGCACAGGCCAAAGGTGCACCTATCAGGTAAAAAAAAAAAATAATTAAAACCCAAATATATAATTTTTTAAATCAATAAGATACTTTTTAGTTGATTACATGCCACCTTGCAGCTCATGGAGCTGTTCGTTTCCAAGTGGTATTCATTTGACATTACTATTGTTTTTCTAGGCTAGACTGAACTTGCCAATAGATCTGTAATTAAAAAGAAAAAATTACTGGGTTTGGGGTTTTTTTTAGAGATAGTAATGACCTGAATCATCCCACCGTCAATCATGCTTGATTTAGGGTCCCTAGAACCACCTCCTATCCATTATAATTTCATTTTACTTTCTCACAGTGTCTCTGAAATATGAGGTTGAAAGGTGTTTGTCAGAAACTGGATTTGAAAATAACACTTTCTCTCCAGTGCTTCAAATCAGCTATTCTGTAGCCTATGTGTATGATTGGAAAATTGGAAGCTCAGAGGAAATGGGAGAATAATAGTGATGAATATAAACTATTTGACCTTTTTCTTCTCAGAGTGCTTCTTACTAGAAATCCTGCAGCAAGCTATTAAATTTTATTTGGCGTGTCCCATAATCATATTAAAATGTTTCATTTATGTTAACTTTGAGGAGTCTTTCCCTTTCTGCTCTCTATTGAGGAATAATTTAATTCTGTTTGCAAAGATTAATCCACATCCTGCTCTTTACTTTTACTTGTTAGTTCAAAAATTTTGTGATACTATTTGATTCCATTTGTGTTGTACTGATGTGGCTGCATCAGCAATATTCAGGGACAGGGTTGACTAATTGGGGATTAATTAGCGACTGAGCATCAGAACCTTTTCATGCTCTTACCCTTGTGACATTTTAGAGAAATGCAGGCTAATGTGTTTCATTCTATGTTACATTAAGTCAGTTACCATGGCTCAGCTGGTGTTGAGTAATGTGCCTGAGCCCTAAAAGTACAGGGAAATTAACTGTTTCTTAACTATATGTCCGTTAAAAGGAATGTATCCTTCACATAGATGTCGTGGGAATGAGTCACATACCAATAAGCATTTTTATTTGCCTATCATATAGTCACCCTTATAGTTGATATGATGAAGTTATTTATTTATATTTTGTCATAGAAGATAATCCAAATTCATCTCCTTTATAGGAGATATTGATGTGCTATATTCATAACTAAAATTGCAACCCCATACATCATTGCTTTCTCAAAGACTGCCCTGGAGCAAGCCTAAGATTTTTTTGGATGTTAAGAATGGTAAAATGCACAGGGCTACATTCAGTACAGGATTTGGATTTCTAAAATAGGGTGTTTGTTGAATTGGTAGAGTAGAAACCAGACCTGTGATCTGAAAATGCTCCTGAGTTATGCAGATGCTTAAACAAACTGTACATCTTCGTAGGTGCTTTTAAGGCCTTCCAGATGTCCTGCTGGTGGTCATATCCAGAGCTGTCCCTCTTTGAGAAATGTGGTATCTATCTCTCATCTAATCCATGACAAATCCTTTCAGACTTGTTCCTGGTCCCCTGAGAGGGGCTGGTGCACAGACTTCTCCAGAACATGCTGGCCAGACACAGCTGGGGTCAGCTGACAGTGGTGCACATCTTCTCTGCAACTGGTCTGAGGCCTATTTGTGCAGATGGCAGTGGTCTCCCACCTTCAGTCTCACATCCCAGGTTTCTCTCCTGGGGGTTTTATTTCATGAACTGGTAGCGTGATGGGATGCAGCTGGAGAATTACTCATACCTGGCTTAGGGAGCTCTGGTTTCTCTGCACTGTAAGGCAAGTAACTCACAGCAGAGTAAACCTGTAGCACACCACCTCACAAATATTCACTCAGTTTTCCACATGGCATCCTCAGTTCTCTTGACATGAGCTTGTCACTGTGGCCTGTGAAGGTGGTGAAAAGGACCTGTGTACTAAATGTAAATAGATGGTTTGATAGGGGCACTTTGATAGAGTGTTAATAACTGTTGTTTGATAATGTTCTCAAAAAAGCCTGTCTTTCTTCCTATCTCACATCTTCCCTCTCCACTTTAATTAATTTATAAAACCTAAGAGGTTACATCAAATTTCTACCATTAAGAGGCCAAGGAAGTAATTCCTTTACCATAACTAGAGGTCTGGGCTTTATTAAAACAAGCCACATGGTTTTTTTCCTTACTTGGAATGAGGAGCATTCTCCAGGGGAATGCAGAAAACATGGTCCTGTTCCCTTTCCTGAAGTTATGCATATTGCAATCAAGTATTTTTCAGCATCTTCTTTAATTCTGCATTTTTTCAATACATTTCACTAAACTTTATGATCCTCGCTGCAGCTGTGTTTCCACTACAAGCTGTCTTGCTGCTGTAGTGAGTGTTACTAGCTAGGTGGGAAAAAAATGCATCCCCAAGCATGCAGCCGTGACTGAGTAGAAGAGACTCAAATGATGTTCATCAGCCTGAAACACTTGATTTTTTTAGAAGGTTTATTTGTGCCCAGTCCTCTAATGCCTGGAACTGTGGACAGTTGAAAGGTCATTTTATCTGATAGCAATAGGTCCACATTAAAAAAAAAAAAAAAAAAAGGAAAGGAGAGGAAAAAACAAAGCTTGGTCTGTTAGTTTTTTGCTTTTGCAAATAGAATTACACTGTGATCAGATGTTGTACATCATCCTCTCCATCAGCACAGCCCCCCAATAAACAGATGTTCCTTAAGTGAAATCTATGTGTGGCGTGGCTGCCAATCATTTATTTAAGATGCTACATGCCACAGTCATCACAATTTAAACATGACTTTAATCATATCATCCCTGTCAAGTGGTATCGTGTAATCCCCAGCATTCTTTAGGGCCTCCTGAAGTTTTAAACCAGATCACAAAGTAGAAATGCAGAGGGAGACAGAGCTGGATGGTTCAGGCTCACTGCAAAGCTCTTGCTGTTTCACCATCAATCTTGTGGCTGAGGTCCCAGTCAGCAGCATCAGTGGTGCTTCAGTGATTCATTTGAAGATGGGATTTGCCACTGTAGTTTTTCTGAAGGATCCTGAGCACCAGCAAAACAGCCTTTTGTTTTCAAATCCTGCTGA